CATTTTGCAAATGTATTTGTTTTATACTTAGCTATTATTATTTTACTAAAATCCCTGCAGCAGCAAACCTAGGTACTTATTAAAAAACCTAATTTTATTTTAATAGATTTGTGAAAATCAAATCAGGCAAATGGAAATTCACTTAGTCTGCAGGTTTGCTGCGGCGGTGTATTTTTTGAAGTTAGCTTAAATATTCATATTTTTGGAACCCAGCAATGTAATTTTTAGAATCTATTTTTTATTTTTTTCTCGGCTCGTTTGCACCGCAGGGCTATGCATACTGTTGGAAAAATATTTTCCTGTAGATGTACAGAATCTATATATATAAAAGGCAAAGCCCTCACTGACTGACTGACTCACTCACTCACTCATCACTAATTCTCTTACTTCCCATTTACCTAGGAGGCTGAAATTTGGTACACTGATTCTTTAGGCATTAAATAGGAAAACTAAGCTGTTTTTATTCTGATCGGACTCTCGGGCTCCGCCCCAGTGGCTCTGGAGTTTTTCATGTTAACCTTATGAGTACTCATATTTAAATGGAATTAATGAATCTTAACAGCTGTTTCAATTAGACAAGTTGGTTCTGTTCTATGATGTTCAATAGCATTAAAGTTACAAGGATTACCAACAGGGTGTAGCACTATTATTTTTTTTAATTTATGACTACAGCCAATTTGCAACCAAAAGGTGAGTGAGCGAGCGAACGAACTTCAACCAGGACGTGATTGAGCCATGCGAACAGGCTCACTTGTGAAGTTAAACGGGGCAAAGCCCGTGGGTACAGCTAGTCAAGTTATAAATTTAAATAGGCTTAAAAATAAGCAAAAAAATTAATTTAAAATATTGACAAAATTAACATGTGCCTTATGGGTTGCCATGCTGGTGACAAAATAACACAAAAAATATGTCAAATAATACTAAAATAATATATTTACACTTATACTGTTTAGTCACAAGACGGTGTATTGATATAAAAGATGGTAAGTGGTGATCGATTTTGATTGGACACTCCTCATCAGACCCAATATAATAGGCAAATGAACCTAGATCATCACGATGCTGATCAAGAAGTTATTTACGAAATAACAACGAAATGTAAACAGAAAATTAAAGCAAATGGAAGAAATTCCAATCACATGTTTTATTTACAGTGAGGAGTAGAAATTGATAATTCTGTACATTACATATTTTCGACCATTGGACGACCTCTATAGTTTAAATAAATATAAATACCAAAATATTTTCCATAACTTGTAAAATAACATAAAATTGTTAGGTTGTAGAAGTCAACAATTATAAATAAACAAAAACAAAAAATTGAATTATTTCTTTTGTTTTTGGTTGGTAATTATTTACAATTCTAATCATTGAGCAAATTGATAGTTACTATCTGTTGGATTTTGACCTTAACCTGGAAACTAACAACTGCACTTCAAAGTCAACTGCATTTGTATCATGTATTAATCTCAGTTGTGTTTGCTTGGTTACCGTACCATTTGGGGATTTAACAGTCTTGAATATTCATGGTGTCATTTATTTCAATTGGTTGAACAAGTAACCTAAAGTATCAGTGTTGAAATGTGGTAGTAATATATCTATAAAAAAGTAAAAGAGGGAGTAAGTATGTAAGGGAGTGAGTAGCATAGTTTTTTGTTGGTAAGTACGTTAAAATCAAGTATTTGTGTCATACAAGCGTTGCAAAACCTAGCAAGAGCTTTGTGCAATGGCATTATTTTGTGATTTTACATTAGAACGAGCTGTTGGCCCGTCCTACGTACGGGAATCGAGTAGTCAATTAAAACTGAATATGATTCAGAACAGCTAGTTTACAACTTGGTGGCCGATTCACACACACTGACTTTGAGTACAGTAGCTACATACCACCTTCCACTGCATAGGCCTACTATAACTTACCGTACCTTATTTTACCACCTTGGCCACTCAAACCTCTAAAATGATCCTGGCCTCCCGTTCTCTTCTATCCCCTGCCATTTCTGGATGACAGGAAGATACCAGTCTGAAGATGTCTTTCATTACTTTGTCTTCCAAGTTGTCGTCTACCTTGTAGTACTCCTTGGAATACACTTTTAAAAGTTGAAGTATCTTCTCTCCGCCATGCAAAGCCTGCCCAGCCCATCCGAGATCCGAGCCTTTTGGTCTACTTTTGGAATGTACCCCTTTATCAAGTTTCTGAATCATACAGTAGGCTACTACTGGGATAGTTGTGATATGGTATGAATCAATTTTGGTTTCTACTGACACCCTGCAGCTTACTGGTCAGTTTTCTGGAGACCTACTACACCGGTTGAAATTTTCATTACGAATAAAATGTGTACTGTATGCAGTCATACTTATATTCAAACATCTATAAAAAGATGTATCAACACGTAAACCACTTATATCTTAAAGGATTAAGCACTTATACTTAGACGGATTGCATTTATGACAAAACTTGACTATACGTTTAAAACGTTTAGTTCAAAATCACACAATCTCCTGATAACATAGATCTTTTACGGTAGAAAATAAACTGCATTTTAAAGTAAAATAGTGTGTAGGCAAACTCTGACGATCAATATTTTTGTATACAAACAACTTGTAACATAAACATTTCAATGACAGTTAGAAACCAGCTGTTAGTTAAACCACCACTAAAACGACTTTCTCGTCCGTCGGCTGCTAGACTTTTTGAAAATTAAAACTTAATTTCTAAAAAACTGAAACCCTAAACTAAAATTATGGCTTCGACATTCCCTAGTTCTCAAAATTATCTTTCTTTCTACACAAATATCATAAAAATCCGTCAAGTGGTTGATTCAAAATCGTGAAATAAAAAAACCCTGTTTCGTTTTAATATATAGGATGGCTAAATTCTCTTGGACATATGAGAAAAACCCAAAATCCAAAATAGTAAGAATTTAAATAATAATACATCCCCACTGCAGCAAACCTGCAGATTAAGCAAATTTTAATTTGTCTGATTGGATTTTTACTAAAATATTTTCATACCCTACATTTAATTTATTTCCCATGTAAATATCATAAGATTTAACTACTTATGTTTGTTGCTAGGGTAGGGAAAATTGTTTTTTTTATTTTTTTACGTTAGTCGTATTCGTATAGGATGAAATAAATAAATTTGCCTATTTTTATCACAATATAAGCTATCTATAAACAACCAAACTACCACAGTTTTTTTTCTCTCTTTATAAGAATAACATGGGAATTAAAAATGTACAGTATTTTTTTCATTTTCTCTATCACTTTTAATAATTTTACAGCGAAGCTTCAATATACAAAATTGTTTACAGTTATCTGACAAAGCCGGCTTCCTTGCACTAGTTTCAATAACAAATTCTTAACAGCTATTTTGAATTTATCTAATGGTAACTCTTGAATATAATATGGTAAATGATTGAATAACTTAATCGAGGAATATTTAAAGCTTTTTTGAGTAATACTATAAGTACAGTAATAATTTCTTAGTTTAGCACAGTTTCTGGTCTTATAACTATGGACATCACAGTGGGAAGACAAAGTGTTTAAGTTCTTCTTACAATACATAAGACAGTGAAAAATATATATACAAATAAGAGGCATGACAGATAAACAACTAAAAATGGGCTTACAATGAGTTTTCGGTGGAACACCAGCAATTAATCTAAGAGCTCTCTTCTGCAATACAAATAAAGATTTTACATAACCACAATTAGCCCAAAGAATGGTACCATAGGTAAGATGACAGTGTATTTAGCTATAGTAAACAGTAAGCAGAACTTCCATTGAAACAACATTTTTTTAGTTTTCTTAATATAAACATACCTTTGGATATTTTAACAGCTACAAATTCTATATATAATAGATATAAATTCATAGTGAGTTCTCGGTTATCCGGTTATCCTTAAGCTGTGTCAAGTTGGTATTTACACTATGTACAAAACCAGACATTTTGCCCATGGTAAATGATACAATGAGGCAATCCTGTATACAAATTTGAACAAATAGTGTTTTTGGCCTCTGGGAATATCAAAATTAAACAGCAAATTGTTATGTGTTCAGTTAAGTGAAAAGATAATATTTCATATTTACATGTTCATAATAAAACTTTTCTCTATACTGATATGATAATCTTTAAGTTTTGTTTAACCTTTGCAAAAAAAATTTAATCCTATTATGTTCTACTTATATTAAATAACACAGTATGTTTTCTCTCTTAAAATGCTCATGGAAAATAAACCTTTAAAAGATTGCCTTCACTTGTTACCTAACTGACATGTTGTGAACCAGTCAACATATTAAATAAGAACACAAGTTTTTGTCTGTTAAGTGTTTCTTTGTGGTGGGTTGGTGTTGGTGTTTAGTAGGTTGATGGTTGGTGTGAGCATCTCTCCCACAGTCTGCCCCCACTTTTCTCTCTCTCTCTCTCTCTCTCCCTCTCTCTCTCTCTCTCTCTCTCTCTATCCATCTCTCTTCCTCCTGTCTAGTCACTCTATCAGGTGGACTCTGACATACCTCTCTGTAAATATTCTCTGACTCATCAGTTAGTTCCACCCATCAGCAGTTTGCCCAACTCCAGGTAGACTTCTTATCTGTTCTATGGCAAATTTCCTCTTTATCAGTGTGATACTTGATAAAGAGTTAAAATTAAGTGCTGTTTTGAATGTAGCCTAGTTTTGGTTTGGTTTGGTCTTTATGACATGTTGGTCATATGATGAGGTCTTATGGATGAGGTGTATGACATTTTGTGATTTTTATATTGTTAAAAGGCTTCTTTATTTTAGTTTCACTTTGATACTATACAATAACTTATTGTTATTATCATTAGAACGGAGATGTTTTTGAAGGATAAGGCTTTGTAAAGACTGTAAACAATTTTTTCGGAGCTTACGTATGCTTTTTTGAGTGTTTGCAGAGACCTATTTATCGGGTTGAAGCAATTTTAACATTTATAATATCATCTAAGAACTAAGTTTGACCAACTTCTGTTTTTGTTTCAGGAGGTCAGAAGACGGGACCCGTGTGTCGTGTGCGGCAACCCCGTCTTCTTGGCCCAACGTCTACTGGTCTCCGGCCGCCTCTATCACCGCACCTGCTTCCGCTGCGCTCGCTGCCACTCTCAGCTCACTACGGCCAACTTCTACGAGACTGAGAACGGAGAGTTTTGCTGCGAGACCTGTCCTGACGAGGAGATGGACCAGGAGATTGGTGATAAAGGCGGAGGGTTGCCTCCTTCACCACTACTACCAAAACCACAACCACCACACGACGATGACAAGACTGACTCCCTCGCTTCCACTAGATCTGCCTCACTAGTCGGCCTGCGGAGAATGATGTTCGAGAACATCACCCAAGCTACGACAGACGACGACAAAGAGATTCCCAGGAAGTTATCATTGCGTGAGGGAGATAATCTATCGAGGAAAATGTCGGGTGATAAAGAGAGTGTGTCACAAAAGCTGTCGTTGAGTGATAAGGTCATAGACTCTCCGAGGCAATTGTTAGTCAATGACAAACCTAGACCTAGTGAGCCAGATGTTATGGAGGACGATTATGAAGTGTTAAGCAGCAAAAGTTCTCATAGGTTAAGTTTTAAAGTAAGGAAAAGTGAGAATGAATCCATTAGTGTAGAAAGTAGTTTAGAAACCCAAAAGCCTGTGTCTCTACCAAGTGATTGTTTTATTCCTAAGATGTCATTGTCCCAAGATAACAACAGTGCCACTTATGTAGAAGAGTTTTCTAGTTTGAACACTACTACAGACTCGGGCATTGTTGAAACTGAAAACTTAAGTGTTAATGCTCAAATTAAACTAGATTTAGATAGTGATTTAGAGCCCATTTCAGATTCCAGTGACGTTTCAACCGTCCAAGCTAAGAACATTGTTTGTAATTTTAATGAAGAAGTAGAAAAAGATAAGTTAGTAGAGTCTAAGGAGTCCATAGAGAAGAAACCAATAGAAGCTAAAAACAATGTTGTTGTTAGTGATAGTTTAAAAGAAGAAAATATGTCTTTGTACTCTGAAAATGAAGTGCTTATTAGGCGTGCTGAAAATGAAAGCTTGAAGCAGTCAGGTTGTGATTTCCTAAAAGAAGAAGATGAATTCACCAGCTTAACACAAAATATTGAAAAGCTCGTATTAGATGCCAAGAACGAAGAAACAATTGATGCTGTTGAAAAAGAGCAATCATCTTCTCAAGAAGTATGTGAAGGTAAAGATAGACCAGAAAATAATAAATTTACTCAAGAAGTTTCTGAAATTCCAATGCCTGTTGAGCGAATCATGCACAAACCACCTACACCTCGTAACAGAAAAGTTAAGAAAGCGCTGTTTGAACCAAAGGTGGAAGTGAAAAAACCTGTTGAAGAATATCCTGAAGAGTTGAACCCTTTTGGTGATGACGAAGAAGAGGTTATAGAAAAACAGAAAAGCTCTTCCAGTTTAAATCCATTTGGGTCTTCAGATGAAGAAGAAGAGGAGCTGAAAGATGTGAAGAAAGAAACAGAAACACCTAAACCTGCTGTTCGGAAGGTGATACCAGCTCCTAAAGTCAATTTGAACCCCTTTGGGAGTGATGATGATGAAGAAGAAGTTGATGTGACCCTTCCTCCAGAACCCAAACCCAGGTACTATTAAATTAATAACTTTGATTTACTTTATCAATTTATTGCTTCTGACAATCATTTCCACTCCTTAACATCAAGCTTTGCACAATTTATAAGGATATATGTTAGTTTAAAATGTCATTAATTAATTCTCACAATAATTTATTCACTATTTTTCTTGGTTATTTTTTTACAATGTATAGCCTACTATGCATATATTTCTTACCTTATAAAACCTTACAGACATCTACATTTAAAACTGGATTTGAGTATTGCCTTTAAGCCAGTGCCAAAAAAAATGTCATTTAGCAATTAATGAGAATCTCATTGTTAGTTGTAAACTTTAACCCTAGAGTGGTGTCTTCGCTCTGTGAGTCCCTGCTCCCCCGCTAGGGTGCATCTTGACTCAGTCTATACTGCCATATGCGAGGGGTGTTTTGAGGTTAGGGGTTCATCTGCAATTGTTCACTTCGGTCCCTTACCACACTGAAGACACCTGAGGCGTGATTGGTCCAACACAGTCTGAAGACACCTAAAATTAAAATTACTATCTATAATGTTATACTACAATTTAATACTACTATACAATGTTAAATTATATAACAGTAATCATTTTAGGTAGTTTATACCTTGCATTGCCATAGTTATATACATAACATATTTTTAAAACACAAAACAGTCTCATAGACCAAAGACACCAAAGGTAACTCTAGGCAATATTTGAAGTTTCAGCCAACCATTAAAAATAGACCAATTTATAATGGTTTCTGTTTATTTAACATTACCTAGTCCATAAACTTTCATAATATATCAAAAAAGGTGTTAATAATACAAAAAATACAGTATATATTAAATAATTTTTTACTGTATGTAAATTTTATAAATGCATTGATTTTGTTTTTAAACTAACAAGTGTGTGTTTTTTTTTTATTGGAAACGGCCTCACAGACCAAAGACACAAAACCTGTGATATAAATCAACACACCACTCTAGGTTTAATATTTGCAAAAATCTTAATAGTATTAAAAAGTAGTAGTTTAGAGAAAAAAAATGTAAATAGAAACACATTATTTTACATTTGATCAGCTGTTTTGTTAACACAATGTTTATCTAGTACAAGAAGATTAGTGTTGCCGAAAAGTAATTGCCTCTTCTAGATCCCTGTATAATGTGCAATTTAGAAATTTAATAGATTTTTTTTAACAGTTAAAATACAAGTTCCTAACATCTGTTTTCCTCTGCTGTGTTCAGGAAATTGATGACTCCTCAGCCCAGCCCTGAGCCAAGTCCACGAATACGTCGTCTGCGGCCAGCTACTGGGAGTCTAGGCTCATCCACTTCCATTGCATCGCGCAAGAAGAAACCAGCCCCTCTACCTCCCAACTGGCAGGTAACTTGAGTGCCTATGTTGGATCTTTATAATTTGTAATTAACGGTTTGATTGTCCGCTTATTAATTTTATTCGTTTCAGATACATGTCTTTAAGTTGTAGACTAAAGAGTCAACGGCTGCAACCTTTTGTATAGGCTAATGAGACTGTGATGAATTAGTCTGGCAGTCTTGCTAACTTGGCACTATTGGTTTCATCTCTTATATATATTTAAAAGTATATACTGTAACAAAGTCTTTTTTCTTTAGTATCAAATTAGGTTGTATTTGATAATAACACTATTTTTCATAGACTATGTGAAGAATAAGGTATTTTTTCCTATAAAATTAAAAAGTTTTGTATTTGTGAAATATCTCTTTTTACTTTTCATTTGTGTAGTTGAATGAATTTTGAACCTCCCTAATGATCTATAATATTAAAACGAAACAGTGTTTTTTATTTCACGATTCTGAATCAACCACTCGACGGATTTTCATGATTTTTGTGTTGAAAGAAAGATAATTTTGAGAACTAGGGAATGTCGAAGCCATAATTTTAGTTTAGGGCCCCAGTTTTTTAGAAATTAAGTTTTAATTTTGAAAAAGTCTAGCAGCCGACGCTAAGATTCTAAACTAGCTTTTGGCATAAAATAATTTGCTTAACATAACAGCTGTAAACATTCAGCTTTTGTGTCACAAATTCAGCATTTGGATAAAGATGTAAAGACATACTTAGGTTTGACGTATTTATACTATGTGTAATGCTAATCATTGATATACGTTCAATTCTTCTGTAAGAGGATGACAGATTAATTAAATTATACTTAGTAAAATACTAGGATGTTCAAATTATTTTTTAAAGCAATCTTTGTAATCTTCGATTTGTTTTAACTAACAGCTGGTTAAATATAAACTATGGAACTATGAGGTTATTTTATTTACTCTTATTTTGATTATAGGAAATAAGTAAGATTAGTAGAGATAATTAGACCACAGTTTAAAATAGTTTAGACCAAAATTAATTAAACCACAGTACAAATCGAGGCTCTGTACACGAGTCTTAATAAAAAAAGGATAAATGCAAATTATTTTCTACTCCACTTTTCAAGGAAAGAATAGAAAAACAACAATGTTTACATGTTTTAATTCTTCATGGTAGCTTTTTTGTTTACAATTAATGTTTGTCTGCTTTAACTTTGCTTGGATTAGGCCCGGAAATATTGATGTCATAAAAAGAAGATCAAGAATAATCAGGAATCACGATTTTAAATTACCACCACAACCTCAGCCGGGTTTTATACAAAGATAAACAGATGGATGACATAGATTGAACACAATGTCAAAATTGACCTAGGATACTGCAATTAGACAAACCATCCTTTTATGAAATCGTGTTCAGTTGTGGTTACGTTTGGGGGTGCCTATATCAGCGCCCCCAAACAAGAAAATATCACTTTTATTTCAACTATGAATATATTGTAGTTTAAACTAGCTGTGTACCCGTTCTACGCACGGGGATCTTCTAGTAATCAGTTGAAACCTTTTTATATAAAGAACAGCAGTTAGTATGCATATTTTCAGATATGCTGGCCAAACTATTTATTATACATAACTTCATTTTATGTTGTTTGTTGTTGTTCCGGATCGGTATGACAATCAATAAAAGGCTAAATTACCTTTGTTCGCTGGTCGATCCTAATGTATCCTATTACAGGAGATGCATTTCGGCAAAATTAAATCGCCATCATCAGTCCTAAAGGTCTTGAGCTTCCCCATTAGCACAGAAAACGTACTACTATAACCCAGAATGCCAACCGCATGGTAAAAAGCATTAAGCGGTTTGAGAGAGCTTTGCCTGTCAATCCGTAGGCAGCGCCACCAGCGTTGCCATGCAATAGCATAGCAACGCTGGTGGCGCTGCCTACGGATTGACAGGCAAAGCTCTCTCATACCGCTTAATGCTTTTTACCATGCGGTTGGCATTCTGGGTTATAGTAGTACGTTTTCTGTGCCATTAGGTGCGTCTTGGAGTTTTTGAAACACATACACGAACTGTACACTTATACACATGACGAATAAAACATAAATACACAGTAGGCCTACTTTTATTTTTACTATAGACAAGTAGACGCGCGTCGGTCGTGTGCCGAGTCTCGACTAAAAACGCTCATTTAAAAAATGTAAGTTTCCCAGCAATATACAACACTGATTCAAGGTCTATTTCCCGGTTATCAAAACTCAAGAACAATTTTATACACAAAGAATCTCTATTTTCATTTACTGTTACCCTACATATTATTGCACTTGCGATTAATTAAATCCGTTATGTAAGGAAAAACGTTTTTAATCTTAATTGGTTTGGATTTGCTTTCAAAACGTGATCGGAAATGGTTGCGGTATTTGTAAACAACATTCAATGTAAACATATCAGTGACAGCTAGAAGAAATAATCTTGATTTGAACAGCTGTTCGTTATTTCATAGAAGAATATGTGCTAAACATTGGGAGAAAACTTTACAAAAAATCGCACAAATTTGGGTTTTTAAACGTCTGTTATTTTATTTACAAAGTGGTGACGCCATATTTTAATGGCTAAAGACAATTTCGCCAATCCAGTGAATACATTAAAATGATTTGGAACTTGATAGGTACTCTCGTTTTTCAGGAGTAGGCCGCGTAAAATGGCTCTTGGGTCGTAACAGACATGAAGACAGACAGAAATTTAGATGAGACTTGTTTCGGTTTCTCTAATGTATAAAACGTAAAAATAACCTAAAAGTTTATGATTCTGAGCAATGTACAGACAAAACTCAAATTTTATTTATATAGATTAACTAATATGGGAAATTACGATGTACATTCAATGAGGGTGGGTAATTATCAAGGATAGAACTGATAACGGGATGGATAATAAACATTGACAATTACGTCATTAGCTTTACTAGCGTGTTTATTTTTTATATTCCTGCTACATGTGACCAGTTCTTTAAACAGCTGTTTCAAAACAAAATGTTATTGTTTTTACTTTTCTTTGTTTACACTTATTTATTTAGCAATTAATGTAGTGAAATTGATATAAAGGATAGGTGTGACGATTAGTTTTGATGTTAGGACACCAAAGTTAAATTATGTGTACTGTGAATTTTATTGGATATTATCGTTTTATTTTAGGTAGTTTCTATTCAGACCTACTGGAAATTGTGTATAGTAGTTGTATTGTGGTGATAATAATTATGGAAGAGGCAGGTATGCTATGGAAGGTGGTATCGTTGACTAGGTCTATACACTTCTCAATTGACTATTACTCTCTCTACTGTAGGCTACTTATAATCAGTGTGCGAATCGGCTGCAAATCTCACTTCAACGCTTTTCACATCGTAAAAATTGCGGGATTTTTCTGTTTTATTGTAAAATTATCAGATTTAAAATGCATCGTATAGGCCTATGATGGAATAAAAACATATTTGGTCACACAACATTTGTTTACAAGATGATTTGTCACATTAAAACCGCAAGAAACTTTGTCTTTATATGTGTAAACTAGCTGATCTGAATTGTACACGGTTTTAACTGACTACTGAATTCCCGTACGTAGGACGGGCTAACACCTCGTCTATCTTTATATTTAACTAGCTGTACCCGCGGGCTTTGCCCCGTTTAACTTCACAAGTGTTCACAAGTTCGCATGGCTCAATCACGTCCTGGTTGAAGTTCGTTCGCTCCGCTCACTTGCCTTCAAGTTAGCTCGTTCGCTACGCTAACTCGCTTCCAGGCTGAAGTTCGTTCGCTACGCTCACTCACCTTTTGGTTGCAAATTGGCTGTGTCATAAATAAAAAAAAAATAATAGTGCTCCACCCTGTTGGTAATCTTTGTAACTTTAATGCTATTGACCATCATAGAACAGAACCAACTTGTTTAATTGAAACAGCTGTTAAGAAATTCCTTTTAAATATGTAAAATCATTAGATTAACATGGAAAACTCCAGAGCCACTGGGGCGGAGCCCGAAAGCCCGATCAGAATAAAAACTACTTAGTTTTCCTATTTAATGCCCAAAGAATCGGTGTACCGAATTTCAGCCTCCTAGGTAAATGGGAAGTGTGAGAATTAGTGATGAGTGAGTGAGTGAGTGAGTCAGTCAGTGAGGGCTTTGCCTTTTATATATTTAGATTACGTAATTCTTTGCGTCAAATTTGTGGGCGACTGAGAAGTCGTAGAACGACGAGAGAGGGCTCAAATTAAAGGTATCTATCTCGTAATGGCGGGGAAAATAGTGAAATTCCCAAAATGTAAACACAAAATTAGATATCCCTAATGTAAAATGTTCTCCATAACAATAGCATTAGAAGCCATTTACGATTGATTTTGTCTACTTCAATATAGCTGGTCGTGATTTATCACTAAGCCAGTACGCAATATTAACATTTGGATTACTTATTTGCCAGTAAATTCCACAATGTACTGTATACTATATAAAACAAGTTATAACGTTACCTATAATTAAGACAACAGTGCAATTTGGTGGATTTTTATGTAAATTAGTAAACCGTATGATAAGTAGTAGAATCATGGGGAATGGCCCAAATCAAAGGAATTGAACTTAGTATGACTGAAAAATAATGAGGTTACAAACATTTAAACTGAAATTTTTTAAATGTTTCAAACAAGATGATAATATATCAATTGAATGAAAAATGTTACTATTAATAACCTCAGTGTGGTCTAAACTATGAACCAGTTAAACTTTTAAATAGGCCTATTTTTAAAACGTTTTTATTAGCTCGCTTTCTTGTCCGGTACAAATTTTGAAATAAATTTTATACTAACTTCCTGACGAGCTAGAGACTTGAAACTTGAAACATAGCTCACAAATGGAAGACAATGCAATATTATATCATTTAATTTTCATATTTCCCTTGGGCTACGCCCCATGGGCTTGTTTATATTAAATCACTTTCTTGCAAATTTTGATACTTCCCGATGAGCTAGAGACTTGAAATTTGAAACATAGCTCATAAATGG